TAGTTTACTTTTTCTCATCTCTGCACCTCTCATTCGTAACTCCCTCTTTTTCTTTTCTTATTGCTATTTGACATTTTTTCCTAACCCTTGTTCTTCTTCTACCCTGCTGAATTTTTCACAAATCTCATATGCATCCACAGCTTCCCCAATTACTTCTTCCTGCCACTTCTAGATCCCTCTCTCTCATAGCAGCTTTTCCTTCTTTTATTTGCTTCATCCTGAACCATTCCCAAAGAAGTGTAGTGAAGATGCTGGATTCCTCCCACCCAAACACCTGCAATTTTTGAGCCTTTTGCTCCTTTGAACAATAGTCCTTTCTGTTTTTGCTTCCTTCCTGTTCCATGTTTGTCATCTATCACTCGCCTCTAATTTATTATCTGATTTTTAAAAAATATTAATTTTGCCACTCCTGTCCCTTGATTCATCTTCAGTGACTTCAGCTTCCACATTGACCCTTATAACAAGGTTTATCTCATTAACTACATTTCTGTGTTTGACTTTCCATCCTAGATCAGCTTTCATATTTACTTGAGTTTTGGCTTCACTCTGTACTGCTGCATCTCTTCTTATGTTGATACCGTTAACTATATTGCTTGGCCTGTGTCACTAGAGGTCACCCTTCCTTGGCTTTTTCAGTTCAGTCCCCTGTTCATTCTACTCTTTTGGTTTTGCAGTATTTATAAACCTGTGGGGTGACTCACCAGCCTGTTCACTAAAGACTGCTCTTCAGCATTAGGATTCCAGTCCCATTTTCTTTAGGGGTGTAGTTTTTCTTTCTTTAAAATAACCAAAGCTCAGCGCATCAGTCTTCTTTCCCCTTGACCCAAGATCTCCTGCTGGGAACCACCTTGTCCCTGCAGGATTATTTTCATTCACAGGGTAATCAGCCTCCATGTTCTCCTGTCCTTAACTTTTTTCTTGTCAGATTACAGTCCAAAGGCATCTATAAAAAGGTCATACAAACTCGGTTCTTGCCTGTGGCCCATGGGCTGCTGCAGTACCTTTTTTACTCAACAGCTCTCTAGTCTGTTCTTTGCAGGATTGTGCTCCATAAACTTTCCACGAGCGAATTACAACTCTTTCTACCTCACCTGAGCTACTGTCCAATTTTTATAAGTACATGGAGTTATCCTATTTCTGGCCTTATATTTTCAACTGGGAGTCAGCTTATCAATCACAGGTGGGGCTAGGTTTAACACTGTTTAAAGGGCTAGGCAATGTGTGACACCATCTCTTTTGATAAGTCCTCCTGCTCCTCTTATCTCACTCTTTTTGTAAAGGTTTTTCAGTACTCCAGCTTTATTCTTCCTGTTTTCTTTCACCTTTCCTTTTGGTATCAACTTCAGCTGTCGCTTTTTTTGAATAATTTATTCACCATCAGCCTTTATCCAATCCCAGAGCTTGACCGGGATCTTTGACATTTCCTGGATGTTTTGCAATCAATATCAGTTGGTCAGAGCTGACACCAGTACCTTTTGGATCTCTAGCTATAACTCATTGCATGTCAATTTTGGGCATGGCCATGCTATGAGGAATAAATGTTTTTGTTTTTATGTTTAGCCCCATGAGCATGCGTGTGAGAGAAGAGGGGAGGGGGAATAGAGAGCTTATTCTAAGGAAGTGTATGAAAATATGAAAATCTATTGGTTATGAAAGTTGAAATATTTAGAACTGTACCCCCTTAACAATCCAAATAATGTAATTTGCAATCAGCTTGAAAAAAGGAAAGTGAGGGCAGGTGGGTTATAGAAACTGCTGTTCTTTCTCAGTTTTTTTGTCGTGACTGAACTGAATATCATATGGTAGGGAAAATGAAAATGAATGACCTGAAACTAGTATTTAACCTTGAATAACCGGAAACTAGTATTTAGATTACAGTTGGACATTATTTTCAAAAGCCCAGGGGATCCCTGTCAAATACCAAAACTACTACACTGAATTGTAAATAAGGTTCTTGCTCACAAAAACAGCTTTCTGAAACCTGTTCTAGTAATCCATTAATTTTCAGTCTAGCAATGTGTTTACTATAGCAGGTGTCATGGGACTAGACATAAAGATCAATTTAAAACACTTTGCTATTACTCCATGATGGGTAATATTGAAAGTAACAAACTTAAATATGGGACCATAGCATTTGTACCAGGAAGTAGTAACTCACCATCATTGTATTTAAAACTAAAAATAATGCAACCCAACAGTAGAGAAATATGTTAAATGGTTTTGTTGCATCTGTTTTGTTTCGTTTGATCAATTAAAAAGCAAACCAAGCATTTGTATTCGTAGTCTGTTTTTATAAGTACTGATACAGGTTAAAATTTACAAAAGGGACACAGTGACTTTGGACCTTAAATTTATATAGACTTTCAATAAGATTTAGGCACATTTTAAACATTAAAGACCTTGTACGTGACTAGTATTATTCTGTTTTTCAGTACTGAATGGGAATGCTTCTTTTGCAAAACCTTAATCTCTTGTCCCCAACAAGTAACTTTTCAACATATCTTCAGAATTATTATTTTGCAGATATATGTATTCTCTTGCTTTTGGTGGTTATATTTTAACTCTCATAAGAATGCAGCAGAATTGTGTTTTGACGATCAGACCTGTATATATTTGACTTCCCGTCTGTGTTAGTTTCTCAGTGAAAGTTGAGGAAGCATTCTTTCCTAGACCAGGTTAACTATCTGAATGTTATTCATTGTATTACAACGTGGATTTCTGTATTCCATTTCTGTCGTCTTTTTTTTTCTGTTGTCAAAATAAACTCTTTCAATTCTAGCTTTGAAGGAAGCAATTTAAATGAGTGCTGAGTGATTTTGGGACAATAAACCTCATTTATTCTGGAATCCCTCAGAATTTATGCAGATCTGTGAACAGCCAATAAATAACTAAAGTATTAATTATTTAAGGAGTTTGTAGGGTGTTCGCGCGCGTGTGTGTGTGTGTTTCTGTTTCTTCTCTCCCCTCCCCAACCCCCACCTCCCTTTCCAGAGATGGGGAGGTTCCTTTATCTTATCTTCAGACATTAAAAACTGCTCTTAGTCTTTTCCATTAAATCCAGGTAGTTCTTGTCCAAACATTGTAGAGGCATTTAAACAAAATGAAATAAGGTATTCTCTAGTGACTTTACCTGTGATTGTTAAGGCAGACTAACATGGCTAACTATCTCTCCTAAGGAGAGTCACCAGCAAAGTTAGGCCCACAGTACAGACTGCTACCATTTGAGTTAACGGAATGACCAAAGTAGCTAGATGTTCTTTTTTACATAGATCAGCCTTTGGAGGGACGTTATAGAAATACATTTCTATGGGTTTCATAGCTGTTTGCCAGATACCGGAATAATGTTAAGGGTCTGGTGTATAGGGTCTTTTGGAAGGGAATGTACTCTAGTAACTGGTTTTAGAACCTCCTTTATCTAGTCCCACCCTTTAGCACAGGGGCAGAAAAAGTCCAACTCACAGGCTGGATCGGGCCTGCAGCAGAGTCCATTTCCCAGCAGTCCCTGCCCACATTGCTGCGGCCGGTTCCCATGGAGACCCCAAGAGCAGCAGTGCTGTGACAGTGCAGAGCCAGGATTTCCATGAAGACTGGCCCCAGCAGCACTGGTTGAGCATGCAGCTGGCTGGGAAATTGCTCCAAGGCTGGGGCTGGGATCTCGTGTGGTGACAGTGTGGTCCAGATCCACGGCAGAGCTGGAATCCACTGCCCACATGCTCTGGGCAGGGGCCTGCAGGCAGCGGATTATGGCTCTTCCCCAGCTTCAGATCACACTGTCACCACTGCAGGATCCCAGCCCCAGCCTCAGAGCAGCTTCCCACCTAGCTGTGCGCCTTGCCAGCGCTGCTGGGGCTGGTTTCCATGGAAATGCTGGCCCCATGCTGTCATGGTGCCGCCACTCCTGGGGTCTTCATGGAAACCAGCCACAGTGATACTGGGAAACGGAGTCCAGCTGCTGACCAGGTCCACCATTTTGCCCACCCCTGCTTTAGCATATACTCTTTCATCCTGTCTCGCCAAAATTCTCTCTACACACAGTCTGTGTCAACAATACACTTTCCTTCTACCTTCTTTCTGCCCTTATCTCCTTCCTCTTTTTCTGCTTCCTTTCTTGTTGCTTTTGTCCTTCTTCAGTTTGTCTTTGTTTCCTTCCCCTCACCCCATTTACAGATTGGTCAGCCTAGAAGAGCCACAGCAGCTCCTTACTGCCAAGTGGAACAGGTGTAGGAAGAATCATACCAAGCTCCTGTCTGCTTAAGCTGAATCAGGTCTAGCACAGCTTGAAGTTTTAGAGCTCAATTTTACAATTCTAGCAGGTTTCTTCTGAGTATATACAAACTGCTTTTTTGAGGTTTTTAGCCTAACTAAGACATATTTTCATGAAGACAGTACCAAAATGAGCTGTTTGTTCAATTGCAAGTCATTCATCCAAAGCATGCTAAAGATTTTTAAAGAAATGCTACTAATTCATACAAACAACATATATTTTTCCTAACTTCATTTTTGAAAATTACTAAACAGTTCTGAACTGCTTGAAGAAGAATTTTTTTTAGCTAGGTAGTGTGCAAAATTTCAGTTCAAACAGTTGATGCTTAGGTAAGAAATAAATAAGCAGTTAAAATGGGTTTTCATTATGGAAAATATTAGAAAAACTTAACTATAGGCATCAGTATTTGGTCTATTTATAATCACAAAGTAGATGAGAAGAGGTTGTACAATGTTTCACTGCGTTTTACCATTGTAATGAATCCAGTAACGTTTCACTTAACAAAAGCAAGTCAACATATAAGAGAATATAATTGTTATCTTTGAAATGTAGAAATAGAATTACCTTTGTTAGATCCCACTGCTACCGTAAACTTGATTGGTGCAAGCAGGCCCTTTGTTTTCCTTTTGCACAGTGCCTGCAAGAGGAATAGCCTTTAGGACCGTCTAAGCATTGCCATTATATTTCAGCACCATGTTTTACACATACAGTACGCTTATTTCTGTCTCCTTTTCAGAAGAGAAACCTGACTGCTCCAAGGCCCGCTGTGAGGTCCAGTTCTCTCCTCGCTGTCCAGAAGATTCCATCTTGATTGAAGGTTATGCTCCTCCTGGTGAATGCTGTCCACTCCCAAGCCGTTGTGTGTGCAACCCTGCAGGTTGCTTGAGGAAAGTTTGCCAACCAGGCTACCTGAATATATTGGTTTCTAAAGCATCAGGGAAGCCAGGAGAGTGCTGTGACCTCTATGAATGTAAACCAGGTAAAAAAAAAAAAAAACGGATTTTTTTTTTTTCATTTTGGAATGTTGCCATTTTCTATACCTAAGGAGTACAATGTCTTCTATAACTGGCTTCTAGTAAAGACTACATTTTATACAGTGCAGAATCTTTTTGAATTGCATATACATCAAGAAATTCTGGCTGTTTTGTATACAACAAACAGGTCACTGAAGTAATTTCCTTTTTTTTTTTAAAAAAGGCATGTTAGTTAACAAGTTTTTAAACATCCTATTTTCAGTTTCTCTCTCAAGATAAACTTAAATAAGATAAGGAAAAATCTAAAGTATAACATGAGGGAAGTATATGCTAATGGTACTATTGATATTTTTATCATTAGCAACTTACCTGATATGCAGACTAAGATGTGCAGGTGCAATTTGTAGATTTTTTAGAGATAATTACATACATTATTTCATAGTTTCATAATTCTTAGGGGCTGGAAAGTAACTGACAGATCATCGTTTATGTTAAGAAACAAAACGTTAAGATGTTAAGAAACAGAATTACCCAGTCTTAAGAACTTGGTTAATCATGAAATGATGATCCTCCAAACTTTTTTTAGAAAAAGTTCTGCACAGTCCTAACAAAGGAACATAATCAGACCATGATCAGCTTTTACTCATTTGCTACATCAATACATCTTATTTGTAAGGTACTGTTGCCATTGAAGTGAGAGGTGAAACTTGCTATTTTTCACAGCCCTTACTTGGAGGAGCATATATTGTTCGATCACAGAAAGCAGAACTGGAAAGGACTTCAGGAAATCATCAGATTCACCCCACTGCACTGAGGAATAATCAAGTATACATACATCATTCCTTACATATTTGTCTATCCTGGTCTTGAAAACATTCAGTGAAAGAGATTCTTTAACCACCTTGGAAAGTCAGTGACAGTATTTCGCTACCCTTATAGTTAGAAAGCTTTTTCTACTATCAAACCTATCATCTTGGTTAGAAATTGTAGGTTTCTTCTTTCCCAAAGGACAAGAGGATCAGCTGATTGAGCATTCTCTTTTAAACATCTTACATATTGCAAGATTGATTTGATATGTCTCTCCCATTCTCTTAGTCTTGTCTTTGCTAGACAAAAGCAATTCTTTCAGCTTTTTCTCATAGGTCATGTTTTCTAAACCTCATATCCTTCTCGTAGCTGTTCTCTGGAATCCCTGTAGTTCATATACAATCTTTCTAAAATTGCAGTAACCAATACTTTTCTTCAGCTGAAACCTCCTCATTGCAAGAAAAAACAGCATAATTACCTTTACTGTAACCCCCAGTTGTACTGTTTACTAGTCAGGTATTCCCTGTTGTGAATTTGTGCATTTGATTTGTGGCATTTTGCATTTCATCATGTTACTGTTGGGTATTTAATCAATTTAGCACAATTATCTTGATTTCAAATTTTGTCCTTTAAAAATCTTTCAGTATTCTGTAGTTTGGTGACATCTACATGGACATAATCTCTGTTCCATCATCTGAATAATTAATGAAGACATTGAATAGAACCAGGGTCAGGACTGACCCCTGCAGGATATCACTTAAAGCGCCTTTCCAGTTTGACAAGAAGCCACTGATTACTCTTGAGTGTGGCTTTTCAAACACTGTACATTTGTGTACTTCTACATACATCTAAATTATATATTTTCTTAATTTGGTAACTGTTTTAGAGGGTATGAGATGAAAAAAGATAAGGTCTGGTGGAGTCAAATATAGAGAAAAATAGTAGCAGTAGTAGTGTTGACGATGATAAACCAGACCAGTGTTGGCATACATGAACAAACTGTATTTGATTTTACATAGAACATACATTTCATCTTCTGAAAATGTATGAATACTAATCAAATACAAGATTATGCAACTAAAATAGAAATGGGACTGGGTCTATATAATTTTTCTAATTTTATGATGGACTTTACATTCAGATGTGCAGCAACTTAACATTTAACAGAAACAACATAGTATATACTTGAAGTCTATGCCAGAGTCCCATGTAATTTATGGATGAAGATGGACCTCATTTATAGGAAAGCATTAAGTCCATTTTTGCTATGTTGTACCTGGTTCACAGGTGCCTAAACTGTGAAAATCATAGAAATGACTATACTAAATCAAGGAGAAGGCAGGGTAGATTTGCACCTTAAGTTAAAAACAGGTGTTGAGTTTATCTCAGTCTGATTGTCCAGGGTTTTGACTTGTGTCAGAACAGGTCAGAGGTAATCATTTACACGTGCAATTTGACAGGCAATCAACTGGAATCTCACCCAATACTGGTGAACAAGTTAAGAGGATATGACTTGGACGACTACACAGTCCGGTGGGTGGCGAATTGCCTAGAGGGTCGCACCCAGAGAGTCATAGTGGATGGGTCGGTTTCGACCTGGAAGGGTGTGGGCAGTGGGGTCCCGCAGGGCTCGGTCCTTGGACCGATACTCTTCAATGAATTCATCAGCGACTTGGACAAGGGAGTGAAATGTACTCTGTCCAAGTTTGCGGATGACACAACTGTGGGAAGAAGTGGACACGCCGGACGGCAGGGAACAGCTGCAAGCAGATCTGGACAGGTTGGACAAGTGGGCAGAAAACAACAGAATGCAGTTCAACAAGGAGAAATGCAAAGTGCTGCACCTAGGGATGAAAAATGTCCAGCATACCTACTGCCTAGGAAATGACCTGCTTGGTGGCACGGAAGCGGAAAGGGATCTTGGAGTCCTAGTGGACTCCAAGATGAACATGAGTCGGCAGTGTTACAAAGCCATCAGAAGAGCTAACGGCACTTTATCGTGCATCAGCAGATGCATGACGAATAGGTCCAAGGAGGTGATACTTCCCCTCTATCGGGCGCTGGTCAGACTGCAGTTGGAGTACTGCGTGCAATTCTGGGAACCGCACTTCAAGAAAGATGTGGATAACCTGGAGAGGGTCCAGAGAAGGGTCACTCGTATGGTTAAGGGCTTGCAGGCCAAGTCCTATGAGGAGAGACTAGAGAACCTGGACCTTTTTAGCCTCTGCAAGAGAAGGTTGAGAGGCGACCTTGTGGCTGCCTATAAGTTCATCACGGGGGTACAGGAGGGAATTGGTGAGGCTTTATTCACCAAGGCGCCCCTGGGGGTTACAAGAAATAATGGCCACAAGCTAGCAAAGAGCAGATTTAAACTAGACAT